CCCGAAATAGACAAAACGTACCTTATGTTTCCTAATAATAACACTTTTATCAGGATTTTTTTGCTTTATACTGTTCAGCAGAAGATCCGTAAGGAATCGTCATCCGAGGAGTTTTTGGATTTTGGACTTTTTTTTTTGGGGGGGGGGGGTATGTCCCCTACAGCGTCGAAAACGCCTTTCAGGATCCGCCTATGACATCATCTCGACTGGGATCTTGCCCCCCCACGCCAAAATCGAATCCGCCGCCACTGCTCTGCGGACTGGTCTGGGCCTTCGGAAACCTTTCAGGTCCCCATTAAGTCTATTATGAAACTTCTAAGGCCTAGTAGAGGCCTCAGAGACCTGGCTTGGCCCGTTGAGACTTGATATGGTCCTTCTGAAGCCTGGTTTGGGCCCATGAGGCCTGGTATGGGCCTTCTGGTGTTCGGTAGATCCTCAGTTTGGCATGGCCATTGGAGCCTGGCAAAGGCCCTTTCTTGACTGGTAGGGACCCTCAGGGGCTTGATATGGACCTTTTTTATACTACTAGGGGGCTTCTGAGGCCTGGTATGGACCCTCTCAGGCATGATACGGGCCCTCCCAGTTCTTGCAAGGGCCCTCTCAGTACTGCTGCAGGCCCTCATGGGCCCTCTCATGTATGGTACGGGCCCTCCTAGTCATTGCAATAGTCCTCTCAGTACTGCTGGGGGCCCTTCCATGATTGCCATTAACATAACCCTCAGTAATATGTCAGGGTATGCAAAGGGTATGGGCCCTCACATAACTTGTGGTGGCCCCCTCAGTACTGTTATGGGCCCTGCTGTGGGCCCTCTCAGTACTGATATGGGCCCTGTCACGGCTGGTATGGGCCCTCTCAGGCATTTTACAGGCTCTCGCACTCCTTCCACGGGCCATCTCAGCACCGCTGCGGGCCCTGTCATGACTGGTATGGGCCCTCTCCTTCTCATGCATAATATGGTACCTCCCAGACCTTGCCTGGGCCCTTTCATATATGTATTAAATGGGTCCTCCCAGACGTGGCATGGGCCCTCTTTGGCCCGGGCGGGCCCTTTCTACAGCCTGGGAAGATAGGACAGGACCACAATCACCCAAGATACAAAATAAATGATTTTCTTTCACTTTTTTTGCTAAGTTGGGCCCTTTTCCAAAAACATGGGCCAAAGCCCGTAAGTTTCATCTTGGCGGCGGCACCTTGAGAAGGCCCCCTTTGGCTTGATTCCCCACTCCTGAAGTCATTTCTACAGCTCTGCCCAGAAGTCTTCGTTCTGCACAGCCAGAGAGTATTCCGTCCATACCTGACCTGCTGGCTGAAAGAGGGTCCCAGTGTTCAGAGTTGGGGGGGGCGACTGCCCCCCCTGCCCCCCCCTGTGGCGCCGTCCCTGGATTTGGTTCATGTATTGCAGAAAAATGCACCAAACGTTATTCACGAAAAGCTAGTGCCAACACATGTTGAGGTTTGTCTTTCTTACAGTAGCGTCAAAAAGTGGGCATCTCTGTTCAATTTTGGTCAACAGATCATTAATGGTCACCCCCGCACTAACCAGCCATCAACAGCATTGACTCAAGAAAATGTGAAAAATAAGCACTTCTTTAGGAAAGGCAAACTCGAAAGGAGGCGTAACGCGAAAATTTTGGCCCCTATATCGAAGATCCAAAAGAGTTCATTGAACTACTTGTTACCGTGGAGGGATTGTGGGTGTCACACGTTGACCCTAAGGGCGTGACGGAGTTGCACAAGTGGAAGCACACTGAGTAAAGGCCACCAAATGTGTGTGACATGTTTAAGTCATACGGCAAGGTGACAGTGGTTGCATTTCGGGATGCTGGCGGGGCCCTGCTCGTCAACTTTCTAAAACAAGGGCGCACAATTAATGATGAATACTACACCTCCCTTCGATAACAGTAGCGAGCAGCAGATATCAAGGAGAGACTAGGGAAGCTGACTAAAAATGTGCACCTGATCCAGGACCACGCACCAGCACACATGAGCAGGGTGAAGATCAGCGAAGCTGTGGCTTCGAGTTGTTGTCACAGCCACTTTTTTCTCCGTACCTTGCACCCTCAGGCTGCCACCTCTTCCCCAACATAAGGAAATTGCTTAGCAGTGGCAACTTCGCTGACAGCAAGGAGACAAAAGCAGCCGTCTTGGACGTGCAAGATGCGTCCAAAACCCACTTGGCTATGGAGAACCAGGGGCCTCTCGCGAAGCGCTGCGCGAAATATTTTTGTCTTTACGCTGGTTATTTGACTAAATGAACATTTTTGGTCTAATAAGTCGACGTCGTATCTCTGCTCCTTCATGGTCGGGCCGAGAACTTTTTGAACGCCCCTCGTAGAGCGTTGGACTCCCGGCAGAGTGAGAGCCCGGGTTCGAGTCGCTCCGGTGCTCGGTATTTGAGACACCTGACGGGAATAGTCTGTGGCTGGTGGGAGCATACGCAGCCAGCAGTTGAAGTCAGTTGAGTGCATAGTTGGGTGAGACAGGTCGTGTCCGGATGTGAGGGACATGTAAATTATTACATACGCTGTGGTAAATTCCTTAGCATCTAAATTATCCCGTTACTTGCGCGATCGGACAGTACGAGTCGGGTCGGAGTCTACGCAATTCAAGCTCTGCTTAGCATAGACTCAGGCTCTGTCAATCCGTCCATTCAAACATTCATGCTAAATTCATAAGAATATAAGAATTCTGCACTTTCACAACTATATGGATAAATGATAAAACTTTAATACCAACGACCTTCATTGCAAACCATTTCCGTATCGAACTTGAAAATGTGAAGCTTTCCCGTAACAGCGCTATCCCTCACGATTAAAAGTACGAACTTTACCCGACGTGAGCCGTTCCCGTTACGAACATTATCCTTGTCAAACCTTGTCCTATAGGAACCGAACCTCTTTCGGTACAAACATTGGCACACAAACTTTGCCCATACCTACGAATTTTTCATCCCCTACAAATCTTAGACATACGAACCTTATAGGTACCCACAGCACGAACGTTATCCGAATATACAAGACCTTCGCAGCTTCGCCAATGAATATCTTCCTGGAGCTTACGAACCTTCGTCCGGATCCTACACCTAAGTAGGTCATCCCTTTGAAAACAAGTTCGATAGCACCAATTGCACAAAAATGCCTCCACGAGGGCGAATGTAAAAAATGCTATAATTACAATCAGGCCTTGTTGCAGTGTTGGTCACAAGAGGCTAAATAAAATAAAGCGATCCTTGGTGGCGTAGTTCGGTAAGCGTCTGCTCGAGGTGCGCTAAAGGAGCCGGGTTAGACTCCTATGGCTACCACTTGTCTCCCAGAAACCTAATCGTCCCTAGCCGCTCACCAGAACTTGGATGGGCTCTCCTTCGACTGCTGCTGTAGCCTGCCATTTATATATAGGCCAGGGTCATGAGTAATGCCACAAGAAAAGTGAATCTCACAGTAAATGAACACCACGGTGACTATATGAACACAAGCTGTCCGTTGCACGGTAGGCGATCGGGCCGGTCTAGCCTCGCGAAACCTCAAAGACACTTTTTTTCCGAAAATTGGAAAACAACGCATACTAGTCGACAGAAAATTCATCAAAGATTACGATTAGTGCATTTGCATGGCTCAGGAGACATTTTTTTCGTAGACAAAAGTATCGTTAAAGACAGCGTTCCGTAACACTTCATAAGGGGGATAATCACAGCCGATTTTTACGCTCTTTAGTTTGAATATTTTGCGGAACGATGAAATTGCTAGGTCGTTGTCAGCGTGGAGACTGAAACGGCGGGCGGGCGCTGATGGGAGCCAAAAGAAAATGATTCGGCCGGCACTCCTTTACTGCGAGTTGCGCGTAAAAACTAAAAGAACAAAATGAGCGGATTCGGTTTTCACAGGTCTCCCATTATAGGCACAGGGACAATGAATATATGTAAGCGGCTGAACATGAATCGTTACAGTGACACACCATGTGACATAGTGACACACCCTGTCCCCTGACCCTGGCCTTAACCCTCGCCCATGTAGGGGGGGGGGGTTGGTGCAACCCCCCCCTGAGGTTTTTCGGAAATAGTGCAAAAACGGCGGCGCGTAGCGCCGCCAAATTTTGGGTACCTTATGGGGCAAGCCTTGCGCATCTTTTTATAAAAAAAAATTTGACCGGGTCATGTCAGGTCACGGAGTTATGACGTCACAAAGGGAACAGCCTCCGGCCGGATTTTCACAAACTGAGTGCCAACGCCCGCGGTTTCCTGCCGGTGGTACGGACATCGGTTGATGGATCGTGATGAAACTTCCAATGCATGTTGGGGCAAGTATTGGCTATCACATGGTATAAGAAACTTGACCGGGTCAGGTCAGGTCACGGAGCTATGACGTCACAAGAGGAACAGCGTCCGGTACTATTTTTGAAAAGCGCCCGAACCACTATTTTGCTAATTCTTGTCACCTCAATGGGAATATGCAGCAATATTAGCTTCTATAGGGAGCAAATGGACATCCCAAATCCAAAAATACAATCAGATTTCAAAAATTTAAATTTTGATTTTTCGAATTTCTGCCGCCGACTGTGACCTTGCCGACTTCCGGCGCTCCCAACGCGCCATTTTTAGAGCTAGGGAAACGAAATACATACCAAACGATAGAGAATTGATCAAGGAACACGATAGTGAAGGTTTCAAGTCGATATCTTCCACCGTTTTGCCGCAATCGCCGCGGAAAATTTGAAAAAGTCTATTTTTCCGAAAATTTGACCTTTGACCGGTCAAAAGTAGGTCAAATGTTGACCTAGGACCAAAAAATATACCACCAATCGCGAGATCTCGGCGAGAGCAATCCGTTGTTTTTTTCCGCTAAGCTCTACGACGCTCCGTTTTCAAACGCCAAGGGGGGGGGGTCGCACCAACCCCCCCCCCCCTGCATGGGCGAAGGTGGCAGATCGCCGTTTACGGGCGAGGGTTAACGCATGCTTATCATAACAAAGTTAAAATTTTACGACACATTTTACGTTTCCGCAGAGAGAATCATCGGCCGGTACGGCCCGTAGACGGCGAGTACCTGTACCTTCCACCGCAGCGCTGGCTCCACAACATTGAGGTATCGTATTTGTCGTCTGTTCTGCATGACTGTTTTCTGAATGTTCTTACACCAGGGCCGGCCTCGTGACGGGGTTAGCAACGCATGTCCTGAAGCAAGCCGTATCCTGTAATGTTTTCCGACTCTCATGTCTGCTGACAGCACGGCGCGATTGTCATGCTGTATCACCCGTGCGCCGACTCTACCGAGGTGGACAAATTGAAACAACTGGTGCGTGGCTGCATCCGTAGACACATCATCACCCCCTACAACAAACTATCGCTGGAGCGGGTGAGTCCTGCATCGCAGAAGCTTGCAGAAATTATCCGGCGTTTTGTGTTAGTGGGCGTTGATCATCTAATAGTTGCATACCTATAGGTACATTAAGTATTTATGCTACTCGGATTATGGGCAATCGCAGCAATTTGTTTCAGCTTAAGTTACCGAAGCATTTACCATGTATGCGTTCATGATGCTGGTAAAATTTTTTGCAAAGAACGGAGTGTTTTGTTTTGAAACGCAAAAAAGCTTCTTAATGTAAAGTTTCTGTAAAATTTCCGATCAGCTTTCCCGTATAAGCCTGAAACGGCCGTCTGTGTGTTGTCCAGCCGCTGGCGCTGGCCACCTGGGGCTGCCACCTGAGGATGGCTCGGGTGGACGAGGCCGCCGTCCGCACCTTCATCAGGGAGAAGGCTCTGAGGGGTCCCGGCCGCCAGAGGTACGGCAGGGGCCGCTTCGACGCCCAACTGCTGGTCGAAGCCGCCACGCCCGAGGGCTCGGACCAAGCCGACTCCGTGCTCTGTCCCAACCAGCCCTGAGGTGGCCGGCGGGCCGACCGGCCCCGGGGACAGTGACCTGAGCGGACCAGCCGCCCCAGGAAGGTGGTGACGTCTGACCATTGAGACTATATTGCCTTCACATCCTGAATTACAGAGAAGGAACGTTTAGCTCCACCATTGGCGGGCTGCTAATGGAAAAAACTGGAAAGACAAACGTAAAATGTACACTTTTAATGATGTCCTACGTGCCTTTTTGTCATATAGTTCTCTGAAGAGTTTGGTTGCAGCGCTTGGCTCCGATATGCCCTACTATTTTAATTTCGATATAAAATACAAGCACAGTTTTAGCTCTGGTTCAGCACTTTTGTATACCACAACGATGTAAAGCCGTGAAGCCCAATAACAGCCGCAAATGCTGTTGCCGCAAAGCCATCTGACAGTCAAATAAAAGAAACAGCTCAAACCCGTCAAAAACCAAACTTACGCCTATAAGATATATTGCGTTGAACTTGCCTTTCAAAATTCGGAATATAGCAGCGGTAAATACGATTTACTCACGATTGCAATTATGTACCATCAAGACATTTACACTATATAAGAAATTACGTGGCCAAAGTGGCCATTGCATTGTTTCCGTTACCGGAGCGGTCGGCGGAGCCCCGGCCGCCCGCGCCCGGTCCTCCGTCCCGTTCGGCTCCCCGTCTGTAAGCGCGCGCTCACACCCTCTCCAGGAGGAGGGCGATGCCCTGGCCGCCGCCGATGCACGCCGAACCGATGGCGTACTTTTCGTTGCGCTGGCGCAGCACGTGTACCAGGTGGGCGGTGATGCGCGAGCCGGAGGCGGCCAGCGGGTGGCCCAGCGCGATGGCGCCGCCGCATGTGTTCAGCTTGGCCGGGTCCAGCTCCAGGTCGCGCTGGCAGGCGATCGTCTGCGGCGCGAACGCCTCGTTTATCTGGAAGAGGGTGCAGTGTGAGAAGACGCTACGATATCACAAACTAAAATAAGGTACAGATACACATGTTGATGTGACGTAGATATTAAATAACGATACTCTCAATGATAACGCGCTTATCACATTCCAGGAATGAGAACGACTCAAAACAATGTCTTATCTTACATAAGTGGCAGTCAATTTTTATCATCACCAACGAACAAAACACTCAGGATCTTAAAAACAGTGTGGAATCACGCGAACGACGTCGAAAAACGCGCCTGTCCTGGGCCTCACCTCCACAAGGGCGATGTCGTTGAGGCTGAGGCCGCTCTTCTCCAGCAGTTTGCGGATGGCCGGCGCCGGACCGATGCCCATGATGGTGGGCTCGACACCGGCGACAGCGTACCCGACCAGGCGGGCCAGCGGGGTGAGGCCGTGCTGATTGACGGCCGCCTCTGAGGCCAGCACCACGGCCCCGGCGCCGTCACAGATACCCTGCGATACGGACAACGGTCAGATGGCAGGCCGAAATCGGGGACCTATCACAGGCGACAATGAGTTCAGGTAGGAAAAAGGATGAACTTGCCCAGCTGCATAAATGTTACGTGATTAACATGACTTGAGTTATATGTACATAATTCTACGATTCTCAAACGTTATCGGAACATTTTATGAAGATAACCAAAACGTGTATATCTAAAATCATTGCCAAGGCCATTCGTCATAAAAAATATTCCAGGTCACCCAACAGTCGAAAAAAAAACATGCTGAACGACCATATGAACAAAACGAAAAAAAAAATATCAGCCTAAATAACGAGCTGGCATTGACTTTATGGTATAAAGCATTGGGTAGGTAACACCACACACGAAAAAAAAAAACGGGAAACTGACTGTAGCCAGTTCCACGGTGTATATTTTTCTCGGAGGCGTGTGTCCGTTGGTCGGGTGAGGCGGCACCTACCGAGGCAGTCGCAGCGGTGACGGTGCCGTTCTTCTTGAAGACCGAGGGCAGCTTGCCGATGCTGGCCATGTCCGAGCTGGGCTTGGGGTGTTCGTCCGTGTCCATGACCGTGTCCTGGCGCTTCACCTTGATCGTCACCGGCGCAATCTCGTCGTTGAACACGCCCGCGTCGTGCGCTGGAAACGGCGACATCGCGCGGTTCAACTACGATAAGGGAATATCGCCGTATATAACGATGCAAATAGAACGTTCCACCAGTCTCGAAATCTTCAATTGATCTTAATAAGAAAGAGCAGTAAATACAAATCATGACATTTTCTAAGGATTTTAAACATCGAGTTTATAACATCTCGCTGTACCTCGCGATTATTACCGCGATAGGTGCCCTTCAAAAAATAGGAATCAGTAACGAACAAGGTCATTCTTAAAATTGGAAAACAGCTCTATCGATGATAAATAAGCAGCCTCCATTCTCAGCTGTGTTACTGTACCCCTAATTGTCAGTGAACAATGAACAGAAGTTCCACAGCACCGCCGTGGACTCACCAGCCTTCCACTTTTGCTGCGAGCCGATGGCGAACTGGTCGGCGTCCTGTCGTGTGATGTTGTACTTGTCGGCCAGGTTCTCGGCCGTGACGCCCATGGGCGTCTTGCAGTGCTGGTCGGTGAGCGCCTCCCACATCATGTCCTCCAGCTGCGGGTTGGCGCCCAGCTTGACGCCGGTGCGCAGGCCGCGCACGGCGTGCGGCGCCTGCGTCATGTTGTCGCTGCCGCCCGTCAGCACAATCTGGGAGTCGCCCATTGTGATGTCCTGTCGGAGAAAACACCAACGCCCGGGCGGTGACATCGACAGACCTCTAATAATTGTGGCTGCGGACTTGTCATCAGGAATCGCGGAACCAGCCTTCGGATAATTAATCACGCCCCCAACTGTCTCAAATTGCAGTATTCGATCTCGTGGGGGCTTTGCGATATATCACCAAATAATGGACTCTGTCCTTGTGAATCCCTCCATTCAAAAGGTTCGGACTAAATAAAAAAAAGACAAAAGTGTCCATAATTCGATGTTGAATGTTGTTTTTTTTAAGTGGTAAGGGCATCGACGCAGCTTTGAGCTTACGGAGCAACGTTACATCAAATATGGTTCGTTCGTTCATTGGGGTTTACGGGCGCGTCGACTGCGGCGGTCATTTTGCGCCCATAACGCTGTACTGGTAAAGCGGATATGTCAACAGAGAACTGACGAACTGAAGAAGACTAGGACTACCACATCAAATATGGAATCAAGCCACAGTTGCATCGGCAAATCCAATCAATTAATCATCAATCAGAGCATTATTTTATACGCATGATTGAGACGAGTTAAAAGTAAACGACGCAAATGTGATAAACGTGAATTTCTTCCGTGTTTACGCGTTTAATGAGTGAGACTATTCCTCGCTCGGTCGTGTCCACATTATCAGACGGCCGTGGAGACTAGCGTATTATTTCCCAAAATAACTAGCAATGCACACAGACATCGGCGGGCATTGTACATTCCGCTATAACTCGACGATTCCTCTTAAAGGCATTACTCTGTAGTCAGACTGTCCACATTCACAGTTATAACATCAGCTGGGTGCGAGGCCGCCCTCACCGCCAATGTACCTGCCGGCACTCACATCAGCACCTATATCGCTGTGTCAGAGATTTCCCTAGCCGGCCGAGACTCACATCAGCACCCGGATCGTGAGAGACCGCCCTACCCAGCCGAGACTCACATCAGCACCTATATCGCTGTAAGAGACCGCCCCCTGGCCGGCCGAGACTCACCTGGGCGCCGTTGACGATCGACTGGAACCCAGAGCCGCACAGCCTGTTCACGGTGAGGGCCGGAGTGGCCACATCGCAGCCGACGCGCAGCGCCGCGTGACGAGCGATGTACGGGGCCTCGACCGACGAGCACTGTCGGAAGCGGAGGGAGCATTCGTATAATCCACGATGGAGTTCATACATTAGCCAGTGTACGACTGGTGTAAATATGATGTAAAAATGAGTTCAATGAACATATTTTCTATGAATAGAAAGCACGTTAGTAAATAAGCTGAATTAGGAAAACATTGGGAATAACTAATAAGACATAGGCATAAATGAAAGGCTAATGTTTCCGGAAAACCCAAGCCTTTTGTAGGGCCCAGAAAGCCTGATTTGATCCTCTGACAAGTGATAGTACGAAAGAACCTTTCACAGTCTGTCTAAAACAGTTGGCTACATAGGTACCTTTTTTACAAACCATCATGACCAAATAATTAAATGATTCAGCCACTAGAACAAAATACGGACAATGTTGTATGTAGGTACAGAACGCTCGATATTTTTCATCGTAAATATCCTGCGAATTCACTTTGTTACCAAGCAAGGGTTTTGCCGACGATGACGGACAAACTTCAACCTCACACGACCAGAGGGCAAAGGTCGGCGGCCTGAAGGGAACCATACACGACGAAAGGTAAACACGACAAGCCGCGCTGACTGAGCACTTGTGCCGGCGTGTTGGCAGAATGCGACCGGTAGCGATCTTTAATTCTTTTTAGAATTGTGCGAGTGGCGTCCAATCAATGGGGCGAGAGACCAGGCCCATGTACCGACAGGGTGCAGAAAAGTACACACGGCAGGAGTAGCGGCGACTCACGGAGAGGACGTTTCCGATGACCACCGAGTCGACCAGCTTCGGGTCGACCTTGGCAGCCTGCAGCGCTGCCTTGGCAGCCACCTCCTGCAGGTCCGTGCAGGTCTTGTTGGACAACTTGCCACAGAAAGCTCCAAATGGCGTACGCTTGGCACCCACGATGAAAATTCCTAAAAATGGTTGCATACCTAAATGTCATGCAAATAAACATCACTAATGATTTAGTGAATACAACACCTAATACATACTCAGTCACGGCAGCCCTATCAGCTGGGACTCGATTCTGATAAATGTCGACCGTCGAGTAAGTGACTCCATCACACGTAGAACATTCCCTAGAACCCACCTTATGTATTCATTGAGGGACCAGTCAAAGAGGGCACAGTTGTAAGAAATGCCTCCAATGCCTCAGGCTGAACTGGACTAAGAAGGGTTCTAATAAAGGTCCTGGAAGGTCAGACTAGGCCAGGGTTTAATAATATTCTCAGTAGAAGGGTAGATCCTGGCTCTAAAAAATGTCCTGCATCGCAGTGTCATAGGCAAACAGTCAAATCGAGGTTCATAAATGGTTGGATCAATCATAAATGGAAATTGGCAATTGTAAAGCATCCAAATAAAAATGCAAAATACTGACCTTTTGTGATGGACGACATTGCTTATATTCTTTTTAGAGATGGTTCCTCACTGTGAAAAGAAGAAAATTCACACTGCATTTTTTATGTTAAGTTTAGCATATGTATTTAGTCAACCCTGCCTATATTGGCCTTGTTGGGGCATTTAACATATAGGAAAGGGTCTGTAGCCCCCTCCCAGCTGTCCAGCCTTAGATTGAGCTAGATTATATGTGACTTCACAGGAAGGTCAAACAATGTCAAATCTGTTCCCATATATAAATTATAATGGCAAACAGTCTGTCATAAGAAATCTAGGTAGCTTTCACAAATTTCAAATGAGCCTGAGTTACAGACTTTTCCATTAATTTTCTGACACAATGAGCAGATAAATTGTAAGTATAATGCCAAGTCTAAAAAACATAAATATAGATAAATATCAGCTTTCTGTATTTGTGCCAGCTCCCAACACTTCTTTTTTAAGGGTCCATTACTGTGGCTGCTCCAACCTCCTGTAAGCTTCTCTAACCTGATCTCATTTCAAAAGATCATTCCTTCCTATCACTTCTTCAGAGTTCAGGGCCCAGGCCCCTCTTGATTCCACCTTTCATCATTACTATTCTTCTCAGTTCTCAGTTCTCCTCTCATTCCAAACAAAAGTTGGATTTTTGGAGGAGCCTGAAGTGAGCATAGGTAGGTGCTAATGTTTGCAGTGGCACATAAAACACTATATAATGTTATTGTGAATTGAGAAAGCTAACAGTATTTTGTATGGTTATTTATTTTTCCATTTGTTATTTTATGAGAAGTAATGTCTCATCAATGTAAAAAATGTCTAAATGAAAGCCCTCTACCTCAGTGATGAGTGATGAGTTCCCGAGTTCACAGTCTGAGAGCTCCACATCATTTGACCCATATAAATATGTTGAGCCAGTTGGTAAGTGACAAGAGACATGGTATGCTATGCTAGACATGGGAGGGCTGTGCAACATGCCACCATCTAACTGCAGTATATTTTTCACTTTCCATTTAAATCATCACCGGCAGATCAGCCAATCGTAGTAAAGCTGAAAGCAGGCATCACACCACACACTTGTTTTTTGCAACCAAGGAGAGGCGCTGAAGGTTAGGTTGAAGGTTGTAGGTGGGAGACTTTAGGTGGTAGGCTTTAGGTTGTAGGTTTTAGGTGGTAGGTTGTTAATAAGGTTAGGTCAGGTTTGGTTTGGATTGATTACAAAGCATCTCTGGGTATAGCACCACTCCTTGGTTGCGAAAAACAAAGTTTAATGCCTCCTTAACGACTACAGACCAGCCAATGGGAATGAGCAAGGTGGTCTTGGGACTTGGGCAAGGTCAGGTGGTGGCTAGTCGGACTGTGGCATCATTTGCAACAGACACTGCTAAACAGGGCACCCGGGACCACTTTAACCAACCATTCATCCATTTATCTATTCTTACAATATTCTTGGTTACAAATTTCTTGAAAAAAATCAGATTAGGGACCTTATGTCCAATAACCACCTCAACCTACGGCCTAAATGTTCGGTTACATGACAGCAAGCGACAAGCCAAAGCAGTGACATTCTATCAGTCATGCATGTGTCATGCAAAATAAAAAAGGACAAGCACATACCAATGCTATGTGCCCAGCCAATAAAATAATATGCAGAAGAAAACAAACCCATAGTGTATAAAATAACCTAAAAAGAGAAAACTCACACACACATTCATCCGGCTCAGTAGTTTTGCTGCGACCGCGTCAGTTTTGTCATCAAATGTTTGAGGGTTAACAAAAAAAGACAGAAACCATTTATCAAATCTAAAACACTGCTCAAATACCACCATTACTTGGCCGTCATGCTTATTTTACTGCAGTAATAGGATTGACACTTTCGGGGCCTTTGGCTTTGCCGCTTTGGTTTGAACGGTTGAGTTGAGGGGCTTGGACTTTCAGCACTTCTCGTGTTGAAATTTGGTCATGAGTGGTTTTAAGTAATATTTGTAACTTGCTACATATTTGTCCAGTGATTCAGCCCGGCGGCCGGCTGAGCTTCCCGGCCGACGCGCGGGCCGACGCCGGCCGCGCTGTATTGCGGCACAGCCCAGGGGTGTCATTTTATATCTCTTTGTGGGGATAGATGTACCCTCAATCCTGAAGTATGCACCCACAATGATGAAAATGCACCCATAAGTCTTTTACAAACGTCCTTTCGAGAGCACGGCGCCCTTCGTATGCTCCAACGGCGTATTCCTGACCGTCTCGCGTTCCTGGATAACATAGCGTTTTTAATCACTTGACGCCCTTCTGGGAGAATGGCGCTCTTTTGACAGCACTGCGCCATTCTCATGCTCTAACGGCGCTCTTTTGACCGTCTCGCGCGACGCGCGCCCTTATGTCTCCGCCCACCGTGCGTCCCTCGACTGTTCGGCGCCCTTCTAGCCCCTCAGCGCCCCTGGACCACATAGCGTTTTCAATCACTCGGCGCCCTTATAGGAGGATGGCGCCCTTTTCAAGGTCTCACGTCACCCTCGTAACCGTCTGACGCCCCTACGTCCCCACCAACTTAGCGCTATGCAAAAAACGCTAATAGGGAACTCGTCCCGATTAGCGACCGGGGAGGGTCGCTAATAAGTCTATGGGTTTTCTCATATTACAAATAGCAAAAAATGCGACGCCTGAAAAGATGAAATATGAACCCAAAAAGGTAACCTATACGCAAAGCACTCAATCACTCGAACAGTAACGGTTATCCAGCACGTTTACGTAAGTAAAAACTGATCACGTGATGCACCAAAAGGCGAAAAGAAGGCGAAAGCCCAAATTTTGCGGGCTATCTCGTATGATATTCGGGGCCCGCGCTGGATTCGGCAACCCTGCATTCGGTGAAGACATTTGGCATCTCCCGCCACACATTGCAAGCTTCAGCAACACGTCATTTTCATTTCTCTCTTTTCCCCTGTGTTTCCCTTTTTGAGCTATTGGCGACCATGTCGGACGCAAATAGGAAACATGAGTTGCAACACATTTCTAACCACCATGCAGTGCACTGGGATTAACTGGGAAAACGGAAATCAATTGAAAAAGGATTGTCCTTTCAGAATAAGCAAGGTGCATCATCCTAATGGGCATCGCTTTTAATCAGAGAGGGCCCAAATAGGTACACACGTTTTGGATAAGAAACTCGACATTTTCATTTAAACTCATCTGAAACGTCCCTCCTGCAGAAACACCGACAACCGGAAAATGATTTAGTTTGATAACCAAAGTATGCCTCACCTTTTGACAATGTTTTTACCCCAATCTCTCCTACCAGTGTTTCTGTAGGGAGGTAGGTCGCAAATAGGAAAGGGTCGCTAATAGAGATGTCAATCGGATAGGGGAGAGTGGGGTAAGATGCCCAGGGTGGGAAAGACGCCCCACCCCCTCTAGCGGCGAAACAAATAATCTAACATTAACCCGCGACCTGGTGGGGGGGGGGGCTATTTTTTGCCCCCCCTCCAGACTTTTCGATATATCTCCAGCACCACTGCGCCGATCGCCACCAAACTTTCAGTACCCTCCCGGACATCAATTTTACACATTGTGACTAAAAATTTTTCCAAAGGCTATGATAGGTTGGCCAGAAATGACGTCAGAGTGACGTCATGTTCTGCCGTTTTCGACCCAAAAAAGGGTTTCGCGGGAAGAGCTGTCAGGCCTATAGCTTTGCAAATACAGAAAAATGATACAGACACAAAAGCTGTAGAATGGACAGGGCTACAAAACTGCTATCTCGGATTTTTGAAATTTTTGGATTTTGACCCCCAAAAATCAAAAAATAGATTTTTGGAATATAATAGCCAAAAAATCCAAAAAGTTTTTTGAATTTCGAAAAAACCGGAATATATGTGATAGTACCTACCGCCTTCTATCTACATACCAAATTTGAGATCAATATCTCTTTTTTTGGCCAAGTTATAGCGAAAAAACTGTTCAAAATTGATGACGTCAAATTTTCAAACTCAATTTTCAGCAATTCTAGACCTCGTAGCGCAAAACAAAGACCACCATTAGACTCCCCGTGACGAGCTGCATCGAATCAATACCCATTTTATGCAAAAATATCAACTTTGAAATTTGACCTTTTTTGACCTGACCTTGACCTGACCTCCACCAGAAAGTGACCTAAACCGTACCTGATGGTCTTATAACCAACACCATTGAGTTGGAAATGAAAAACTGGCCATAAAACATGCATCGCACACCCTTAGTAAAGTTGGGTTCATGTGGTGACCCTTGGTGACCTTTGGTGACCTGACCTGTGACCTGACCTGGTATGACCAGTGACCTCTAACAGCAACATATCTACTAGGCAACTGACGCCCTATCGCTGATTCCCGACAAAATGCGTTTTCCTCGGTGTTATAGCGCATTCCCTAGAAGACCCGTGAACGGTGAAACATTTCATCTTTGACCTGACCTGTGACGTCATCGGTGACCCCGAGGTCAATAAAATTTGGTTTCCTTCGACAAATTTGACAGGCCTTTCGAACGCCGTTTGAATTTTGCAGATCCGTAACATAGGGTAGCCTGGGGCAAGACGCCCCAGATAATTTATTTTGCTACATAAATTTTGTCCTACATTAGCTGGAAGGCCAAATTTAAGCTCAATGCGTTCTTTGGACATTTTACTTTAAATTGCACCCCTCAAATTCATTCACTTATGATCGGACTCCAAGCTAGGAAGTGATTTGTGAAGCAACTGCAAATGGGGCATTTTGCCCCAACCCCAGGGCAAAACGCCCCACTGCCTGGGGCAAGTAGCCCCATACTTAAGATTAAAGATTTAACATGGTAGTTGGCTAAATCTTATGTGAGAGGTCCGTTAGACCTCTGGAGGCACGGCACTGAAGTTAGCACATTCCATCCTGTCAGGTGTTCAGCTAAGACACTATTGTATGAGCAGGTTTTTCACCTGCCTCATAAGACCAAATAATAAATTATTGCAATGCAAATGTTTACAAAATACTTCCTTTGTCAATCCAGTTGCTGAGAAAAATACACATAATGGCATAGAAACTTACTGTTCGCCA